CACACTCAGACAACTTTGCCTACACCTGAGTTTCTCAAGATTAATAGCTAATTAAACTGAATTTAGCTAAATATTTGTGCATGTTAGTCTGTGTACTGCACAAACAAGATGCAGGGAAACAAAGGCTTTAAAAGTGTCCAGACAAGTGTGTGCAAATGTCAGCCAACTCGGATTAATTTGGTACCTTGAGATGGAAACTGGGCTTGTCATGATAAATATAATTAATGGCCTGGTATTATGTGGGGAGGTCAGTCTGGATGGGCTGATGTTCCCTTCTGGCCTTAATATCCAGATATAACAATGAAATCTCACATTTCCTCTTCCTTTCCTCCTCCTTGCCCATGTACTTGGGGACTGGAGGCTGGCAGAGGCAGGAATGTGTGCTGTCAGCTTCTTTGCATTTCCAGTAATGGAAAGCATCAGTTTTTATAAATCTCATTTTTGCCAGCCCCATCCCCTCCCTGGTTTGGGCTGATATCAAAAGATGATGGTTGAGGTGAATCAGCAGAGCATGAACTTCATGGAAGTGTTTCTCTTTCTCTCCTCCTCAGCTTTCCCCCTCCCCCAGTCCCCTCTAATAAACCCCTGAATACCCAGCCTTTATTCTGTTGTTGAATCCAGTTATTTTCTTTACTTTTAGCAAACTCATCTGTGTCTGATCCTGTTGTCCTCCCTGTCAGATGCAGTAATATTGGAGTGAAAGGGCTAAATTGAGACTGTTCTGGAACTCTCTGGGAGTCAGCTGAAGCAGTGCTATGGAAGGGAGGTGCAGCCCTGGTCCTTTGTGCCCAGGGAATACAATTTTGCTCTCTCCAAAGGCTCTTGCATCATTTGCATTCCAGTGGAACTAGCAAACTGGGCTTGGGTGTGGAGCAGACCTTTGCTGTCAGCAGCAAAGTCAGCCCTTTTCCTCCTATCATTTGGCAAATTTTTCCAAACTCCTTGTTATGGGAATTTCCTAAATTTGGACAGATTTCCCTGTGCTTTGCGCTGAAGTCTGTGAGAAATGGGAGTGTAACCACACCACCTGTGAAAAATCATCTTTAGCCTAACACTGAGTCTGGGCTGGCTCTTGGAGCTCCTGTCTGAGGCCTGTCCAACAGAATTATTTCTTTATTTCTGTGCCATGTGGCTTTGGGATCCCGGGATGCTCAGGCTGGAGCTGCTGGCATCTTGCCTGCCCCACGTTGTTCCTGCTGAGGTTCCTTCCACACTGGGAATTCCATCCAGGCTCCTGTCCACAGCCCCATGTCTGAGATGTGACACCTGGAGGAATTCCCCCTCCTTTTCCTGGCTGGGAACGTCGTCCTGCTGTTGGGAATAGAGAGCAAGCTCCAAAAGTAATACTGACAGGCTTCAGAATTATGATACACTGGAGCTGTGGCATAATTCTTTGTTGAAGAAGTTAGAGGCCTAAAATGTTAAGGCTTATTGTTATTCCGAGTTGATAATCTCTGCCTTGCTTTAATAATTTTTCCTCATGCCTGGATAGCCTGCGAGTTGCACAATAATCACTCACACAGCTTTGTAATCAATGCCCAAAGTAATAGGATTCCGCTGGCCAACGGCAATTAATAAATTTGTGTCTTTTTTAAAACACTAGCAAGTCGGGCCTGAAATACGACTGACTGGCTTTCCTCATTTGCATATTTATTGCAGTGGAAAAATTCTTGCCGAATGATTGATGTTGAGCCTGCCTCTTGAATTCCAAACAGCACATTATTATGAAATGAAAAATGCCGGCCATACAGTTGATTAAAGTTGAAGACAGTGGAATCGGTGTTTTTTAAGATTGTGGGAGAATTAAAGGCATATTTTAATAGATGTTGACAAGAAGTGAACTAACAAAAGCAAAGCAAAGGATTTGCTTGAAAAGATTTAATCAAACGTGTTTGGTGGGGGATTAATTGCTGGGGATGACGAGTGCAAGTGGCTGGCTGCTGGCTGTGAATGGGGAGCATTGTTCCGAGGCCAGCTCGTCGAGGGCCATTTTGACCTGGAGTTTAACTCCTGTCCCACAGCCCTGGAAAGGAGGGAGGATTCCCCCTCTCCATCCCAGTGCTAACCGGGTGGAGATCCTGCTCGTGTGCAGCCATTCAGAGCAGAGGGTGGGCTCCTCTCCTCTTGTGATTTGCCTGGTGGGGCCGTGGGGGATCCCTGGGGGTGTCCATGGGGGTAGGAGAGCGCTCCCAGCTCAGCTTTTGCTCTGCATCCCCTCATCCCAGCATTGCTGCAGCTGTCCTGTGTGAGTGCTTCCCCTGTGCAGGGGCAGGGAGAATGGAAAGCACTGCATGCCTCTGGTATTCCTGTGATGCCAGAGCCCCAGGTTGAATTGAGGGGGAAAACTCCTCAGTTTCCAGAGCTGGCAGGGGTTCTGGAGTGGAGCTGTGTGCTGGGTAGGTGGTGGTTCCTGCTGGTCCATCCTGGGAAGAGTTTTCCCATGGATTCAGTGTCCGTGCATGCTTGGGAGGTTGAAATGAGCCCCCATTTTCAGAGGTCCGAAGGGAGAGCAGGGCTTTTCCTGTGTGGGAAGCCGTGGGAATGCTGCCTTGGAGCGTGGATGAGCACAGCAGCCCCCTGGCAGCCCATCCCCATGGGGCAGCTCTGGGATCAGTCCCTGCAGCCACAGCCCCACTCCAGTGTGTCCACGCCCCCTGGCACTGACAGAATTGCTTTTGGGTGGTTTGAGAGCAGCAGGACCCATCTCTGGTGGGTGTTCTGGCACTGGGATCCATGGCAGTGCTATCCCTGAATGGAGCTAAGTACTCCAGGGCTGCTTCCATCCTGGATGAAAGTAGGACAGAAGAGGAGTATTGAGGCATACTGATTTCCTGGTGCTGGCTTCCAGCATCCTGGGTGGGTCTGGAACAACTTTTTCCCTCCTGGACACGAAATGAAGGGGCTCCTGTGGACTCTTGAAAGTGACTCTTCCAAGGTAGTGTCTCACCTCAGGCACTCTGAATCCCACCTGAGCTGGAGGTTATATTGCAGCCAGGTTTGTTGTGTGCTGGTTTCAGACAAGGAGCAGCATTACAAAAATCCTGCTGGGGGTAGGAGGGTCAGTCAGTGTCCAGCCTTCTTTCAAAGTGACCCAGTTTGCATCCATGGAGCAGTTTGGGTTTGTGTTGCCTTCATTCACAAATGGGGCCAGACTCTGCCCCAAAGCAGGTGGTGTAAAGGGGCTTCAGAGGGAAGAGGAGATGAAGAGGAGGCTGGGGGAAAGCAGCCCCTTCTGGAATGAAATGTGAGCTGGGTAGGGCAGGGCTGGATGGGAGGAGAGCAGAGGAGGGTGACACTTGGCTTCTGAAGTTGAGTTTGCAGCACACTTAAGCAGCCAACGGTAGAAGTGAGAATGCCATCCAATAATGCTATTAAATACATGAGAACTGAGAACAGGGAAATTACCCAGCTGTAAGAGGCTCGTGATGAAGCCACTGCCTGGAATAATTAGCCCTCCCACCTGGTTAGACACACGGTCATTGTCTTCCCTGCCCTCTCCAGCCCCTTCACTCCAAATAAAATTGCTCCCCATCCCCACTTCTGCTGGGCTCTGTATCTCATAGCCTGGAGCAGCTTGAGCCTGTCTTTATTTCCTTGCCTGCTCACCATGGCCCTGCTATACCCCAGAAGGGCTGGAGTGCTACTCCAGTTGTAATTGCCAGGATCAAAGCTGCCTGGGGTGCATTAGCACTGCTGCTGGAGGAGAGGCAGCAGGGAGAAAATAAACAGTTTGGGAAGCTCTGGGGACATTTGCCTGTGTTGCAGGCAGTGGGAAGGATTTTGCTGGTGTAAGCTGTGCACTCAGGCTAGGGTGGGGGCACTTGGTTCCTGCAAGTGATGCTTTAGCTGCAGACACCTACAACAAATGCATTTTTAAGGGCTTTTGTCTGTTTGTCTGGTGGAATTGTTTTGATGCTCACACACGTCTGATTTACAAGTGCAGCAAACCTAATCCGTTAATAGGTTTATATAGAGGAGTTGTCAGAGTGTATCTATAATGAACCATGGGCTCAGGGAGGGCAAGTCCAACAGCTGATCTGCAACAGAAATCTTAAAGCATCTTCTCCTTGACACTGCTGTTACTGAGGTCAGGCCATAATTTATCTGAAGGTGGTGACAACTGAGCAATATCACAGTTGGAACACACAGGAGATTGAGACCTCTGAGTGTCTGGGCTGATTTCTGCCTCTGTCTGCCTGAGGAAGATTTGCTGTTCACTCTACCCATGATCTCTGTGTCCCCCACTGAAAAGCAGAAATAAGGAAAAAAAAATGGAGCAGGGAAAAGTTCTCCCTGTTCTTTTTGTGCCACGTACAAAGGGAGGCTGGGGAGCTAACAGAGCAGCCCCACTGGCTCCGTGGCAGAGGAGGCACCAGGGGAAGCTCGGGGGAAGGTCCCAGCTCCTGCTCTCCATGCAAACCCACGTGCTCTGCCAGCCAGAGTAAGTCAGTTTAGGTTTGGGGTGGGGCTGTGCCAAGTGTTTCACCTGGGAGAGCTGGCCCTGTGATGGATGTGCAGAGGGACAGTTTGTGTGGGCCTGGGCAGACACTTGTTTTCTCTCTGAGAATTCTGCAGGGAGGCTTGTTGGTTGCCACAGAAGAACTATTTTCGAAGAGCAGATGCTGTGGCAGTGTGCAGTTAACCTGTCCCACAGTCAGCTGGAGCTGTGTGTCCTTGGAGAACCCGCAGCCATTGCAACAGGCACTGCATGGATACAGGAAAACTGCCAGCTGCAAAAGCCTTTGCACAGCATCACATCTCCCTTCAGGATCTGTGTGTGAACACCCTGGGGTGCAGCTGCTCATGCCAGTAAAAATCACATTCACACCGTGTATTGATCAATTTACACCCCTCCACCCCATCTTTTCTTCCCTTTCTCTCTTCCTGAGAATCTCTGGCTCTGCTCTTCTGATCAGAGTCCCCTCATTAAACTGGCCAGGCCATGGTTTAAAGTTCCCCCCATAGATCAGATCTCATCACTTGTGTCTCTTGCTCTGCAGGTTGTAAAACCCTGGAGGCCTTGCTGAAAGTGCTGGTGGAGCTTCAGGATGAGCTGCTTTATCAGTACCCAGGCACGAGGCATCTGGTGGATGGAAAGCAAGCAAAAACTGAGAGGTAAATGCAAAAAGAGATGAGAACTTCCTGAACCCTTTGGTGTCCAGCAAACAGGACAATGCCCAGCCTTCCTGACCACCCTCACCCTGCTGCTGTGTCTGGGTGGCAGACACTTTGTTATTTGAATTCCTTCTGGGAAGTCTGGTTTGGAATATTCCTGATAGTGGAGCAGGGACTAAATCATGGGGCTTTAACAAAAATATCAGTGTGGAGGGGCCAGCAAGGACTCCCACTTTGCCTTAGGGAGGGACAGGGTGTTTATCCTGAGTGCTTTTGTTCCAGTGAGGATGAAATCCTGAGCAGCAGCGATGAGGAGCCAGTGGAGAAGGCTCAGGAGAAGAGGAGGAGCCTCCCCAAACGGAAGCTGAAGTTTGAGGAGTACCCTGAGTTCATAGCCAAGCGCTACAAGGACTTCAGGACCTACAGGAACAGCACCCTGCAGAAGTGGCACGACAAGACCAAGCTGGCCACTGGCAAGATGGGGAAGGCAAGGCCTGGTTTGTGTGTGCTGACATGGCTCTCGTGGAGCAGGGATCTGGGGAACAAGTCCATACTGAAAAAGGGGAAATTTGGGTGGGGTAGAGGGAATAAATTCTTCTCTATGAGTGCCCTGACACAGGGTGCTCAGAGCAGCTGTGCCTGCCCCATCCCTGGCAGTGTCCAAGGCCAGCTTGGACGGGGCTGGCAGCAACCTGGGACAGTGTTTTGCCAACCAGACATCCCATCACAGCCAATCTCCAGCAGCAAATAATCTCCGGGAAAATGTCACTCTGCTGCTGCAGGAGCTGTTTGTGGTTCCACCCAGAAGCAGGGCCCTCTGAGGCTCTCCCCCTCCATTAAGTGTAGGCTTTAATACAATGGGTAATCATTTCACCCAGAGATCCGGGCTCTCCTCACATCTCTGAGTCGGTATTAATCAAGGAGAAGTTAATCTGAACCAGAACAGCAAAGGCATTTTATTAAGCCAGGCATCAACTTGCCTCAGGTTGGGGAGAGAGAGCGAGGGAGAAACAAATAAAAAATCCTCGCAGAAATCCCTGCGACGAGCCGCAGACCCCCTCCTGCTGCTGGAGCTGTTTCTGCAGTGCCATGGGAAGATAGAGAGGGGCCTGGTGGTGCCTGAGGAGAGGCTGTGTGTGTGATCTGACACTGGTGGTGCCCTGCAGGGCTTCGGAGCCTTGGAGCGCTCGGTGCTGGCGCAGATCGATCACGTCCTGCTGGACAGGGAGCGGCTGCTGCGGCGCACCCAGACCCGCCGCTCCCTCTACACCGTGCTGGGCAAGCAGGAGCAGCAGCCTGCCCCGGCCCCTCAGCCCGACAGCTCGGTAAGGAGGGGTTTTATTTCTCTGACTCATCCTGGGAAACTCTGCTGAGCCCTCAGCCCAGCCTTCGGCAGGTGTTGCGCTTGTTTGGGAGATGGGTGGAGGAGGAGGTGGCTGATTCTTGATTCCTGCGGTGTAATGGCTCAGGAAAAACATTTAAATCCCAAGTTTTGTGATGCTTGCATTATCTCCTATCCAAGTGCCTGACAGGAGAAAAGGAGGTTTTCCTTGAGCCCCTCCTGTGCTGCTCACTAAATCTGATTTTTGAGGTAGCGGCAGCAAAACTTGGCTTTCGCTCTGGAGTTTAGAGTCTTTAACCCAGAAAGTCCCTTTAAAAATCATACTGCATATAACCTCCAGAATATGTTAGTAGTAAGCCCTTTATTAATTTAGTATTTAAGAATGAATAAATACTCAATTCTGAGAGATCAGGTAGAATTACTGGACTTGCAAGATGTATTTTTGCCATTACATAAAAAATATCTGTAGTATTTAGCCAGAAAGACTTTTCACAGTTCTATTTATTTCCCAGTAAAGGCATCATAAATCTATTTTGGCATTGGCAGCATTTCTGCCTTGCCTTTAAATGTATTCCTGGTCCTTAAAAGCTGGTTATGTTGGGAGCTTTTCCCCATTCCTCCACATCATCAAGTGTGTTTACAAGCTGCTGCTGGATGTCTCTGGAGTTAGGGGCAGAAATGTGCACATATGAGCTCTCAGTATTTTCTTGATGCTTGCAGGAAGTCCTGCCCCCCTCAGACTCCAACAGGCACCTGAAGGACATCGATGAGGAGATATTTGATGATGATGACTTCTACCACCAGGTAGGGGATGGTAAATGTGTGTTGCAATTACGGCTCCAGTTGGGTTTTGATACTTACAGAGAAAATGCACTTGGTTCTGTGCTCTGTATTTCTCTTTACCTGTAAAACTCAGTTTCCTGTTTTAACACCCCAAATCTCTGCAGGTCCCTCAGGGCACTCTGCTCTCAGATTTTGCTCTAGGGCTGTGTGAGTTTGAAGTTGCCCTGTGGATGTGAACTTGCTGCTGGTGCTGGAGTGTGTCAGGGCTGCAGGAGCTGTGCCTGTTGCTCTGCCTGGGGAGCAGCACAGGAGAAAAGGCTCTGAATCCTCTCTGTTCTCTGTGGACAGAGTCCCCGTAGGAAAAACAATGCCAGGAGATCCTCAGGAGCACTGAAAGGTGCTCTTGTCTCAGCCTAAATCATCTCATTTACCTGCTGGATGGGAGAGCTCCTGGGCTGCTCCAGCACTTCTCTTGGAATTGGGCCAGCTTGGATCCAGGCCAGTTAATTCCTTTTATTTGCAAAATTCTTAGAAGCAAGGAATCTGCACTGAGTGCAGGGAAACACTGTGTTTGTAGTTCATTTAATGAAGACAGTGCCAGCTTTATGAAAACTGGAGTTGTCACATCCTCAGGAATATGTCACAGTAAGCTCTTCCCAGTGTGTGGAAACCTCTGCCTGCTTTGATGATCCACACAGAGCCTGAACTTCAGAACTAAACAAATATCATTATATCACTGGAAATACAGTTTTTAAAATCTGAATAGTTACTAGAGTGGCCAGTAAAGTGCTAGGGGAGTAGGAGAGAGCTGGTGCCATGTGAGGGTGCCAGGCTCCCAGTGGTGATGGGAGAGGGCCTGTGTCCTGTTGGCAGCAGGGATTGAAGATAAATCTTAATAAAGATAAATCTGTTTAAATACTGCTGAGGTGGAGTTTAGGGTCCAGAAGCTGAGCTTTGGGGCAAATTGGACCCTAAGAACACAGAAGAAGTAAAGTTGGTGTTACAAAATCATGGAGTGGAGAAACAGCTGAGGTTGACAGCCCAAGGACGTGCGCAGAGAAGGTGTTTCTTGGCCATGAAATGTTAAACTCTTTAAAAAGAAAACAGCAATGGATGAGTGTCCCCATCTTTCCCTCTAATAACTGTAACTGTGCTAAATTGTGATTTCAGAAATATGAGCAGGCCCAGCTTAGCTTCTCCCCTCACTGGTTAATTGGGGTGCTGGGGTTAATCTAAATTAAAACTTAAACTAATAGAGGTCATTGAGGGAAGAGAATCACCTGAGTAAAACAAATGGGTCTGCCAGGCACAGCTGTATCTTGGCCATTTCCCAAGAGGGAAGTGGCAGCAAATTGGAGCAGTTTGAGGCCTGGGCAGAGGTGAAGGATGGGTGACAGGGTGACGGGGGCTCGGCGCGGCCCCTCCGGAGGCCAGCGCTGCAGACTGCCTTCCCTGCTGCTCCAGCTGCAGGAGCAGCACCAGCCACAACATCTGGCAGCACAGCCGGGCATGGGTGCCACTGTGGGCACCCCACGGCCTGGAAATGCAGAGCTGAGGCTGGTGCAGGCTTTAATCACTTGCCAGTCCTTGGCAGCAGCTCCGACAGCCTCTGCCGGCCTCGTACATCACACACGGACATCTGCTGAGCAGCCAGGCAGCTGCACATCCATTTTCCTCTCTTGCTGGGCTTTTTTTGATCCCTCTCCCTCCTCCTCTCCCTCCTTTCCACCCTTCCCCTCTCCTCCATCCCCAGGGTGCTGCCTGGCAGAGGGGATCCGTACAGCTCCCGGTGTTTGTGGAGTCACCCCGGTTTGTGTCCCGTGCTCGGTGGGGTTTGGCAGAGACTGGAGCCACTTCAGGGATGAGGCTGAGGAAAATGGCTCTGTGTTTTCTGTCACCTCCCAATTAAATTGGATTCATAAAGTGCTTTCCTTTATTTGTCAGGGCGCTGAGCTGGAGCTGAACATTGCATTGAGAGCAGGGAGGGCGCAGCACAATGGAGCTGACAAGGCCCTGAATGGCTCTGCTTTCCCTGGGTCATAGCTGAGCAGTGCTTTGTGTGTGTGGGATTGCACGTGGGCACGGAAATAAAACCTGGGAAGGGAGCTGCTCTTCCAGGAGCCAGCAGCAGCGAGCTGAGGGTGCTCCCCACCTCTGACCCCCATGCATAATGCTGATTGCAGCCTGCATTTCAGCACCTGCCTCTTCCTTCCTCTTTAATTCTACATCCAGCCTTTCCTGGGGATCGTATGCACTCCTCTAAATAACATTTTAGAGTTGTGAATTTATTCTGATTGCTGCTTAGAAGGTAAACATTCAGGTAAAGAACAGCACTGGAAAGCAGCTTCCTCTATGTGTCACTGTGAAATTAGGCAAGTAAAAATGAACCAGATTTGATGAATGTGCACAAGTTAATGATAACAGAATAGGTAGTTACACTGTTTTATTATACATTATAATAAAAAGCTCTTTAATTAATCTGTTTTTCTTCTGGAAAAACAATTTTCTTGTCCAGGTCTTAATATTAAGTAGAATTCAGCAGGTAGGTCTGGTGGAATTTTGTGATGATTCAGGATTTAACTCTCTTCTGCCTGTTCATCCCAATTTGCCTTTTCTCCTATTCTTCACTTGTTTTATAAGCAGTTACAATTTTTATTGTGATGACCCATATTGGATGGTGATGGAAAGCTGAGCTGAGTAATGCAGTGAAATATTTTTATTTGGGTGGGAATAGTTAAAGCGTTTCAGAAGGCTCCTCATTACTGGCAGCAGTGAGAGGCTGGAGCCCGTTTCCTTTTCCTTTAAATTCTCCTTCATACGTGGCTTTTAGGGAAGAAAAAGGATTTTTATTTTTAGAAGTCATATTTACGTAGAATTCATTACAGCTGATATTGCAGCATTAAGACTTAAAATTCCAGCCTGCTACCAGGGAGCTGCTGCTCTGACATGCTACAGTGGAGATTTTATTGTTAGGTTGAAATACTCCTCTGGTAAAGGAGAGAGTGGAAATTGGTTTATTTCCAACAGGAATTAGGTTAGTGTTCATATGCTAAGTGTTCCACTGGTAGCAGCTCTTCCCAGAACAAATGTTCATCACTTCTGGCAGCAGGTATGCCTAAGGAGAATTGGGAATATCCATAATCCCTTTTTTCCTCTGCTCTCCTGCTCTCTCCTCCGCTGGTTTGGGCATTTTGTGACAAGCCCACGGCCACCAGTCCTGGGGGAACACTCCAGAATCACCCAAAACCTTCCAGGATGGTTCTCATCCCCCCACAGCTGGGATTTACCCCCAGGTCAGTGTCCTTAAAGCCCCCTGTGTGCCCCTTTGGAAAACCTGGCTGATGGGGAGATTTCCCCTCATGTCTCCAGCAGTCTCCTGGCCCACAGTGTGGTGTCCTCTCCCAGGAATTTGGTCATGCCCCAAACAAGGAATTTCCAATCCAGAGAACTATTAAAAGTCAATAATGGTGAAGAATAGAGAAGCCTGGCTTTGTGACAAGCTGGTTTACCTTAATTAAACCGCTGAGTGATTAATATGGACAGCTGATCTTGTGGCTTTAATTAGATGCATTTAGAGTTTTGTGTGAATAAGAGATGTCTCGAACCATCCCACAGGTTAATGGCAATACAATACTCTTATCACAGGCATGTATCTTTCAAATGGCTGGGTAGATGGTTAATAACACATTTTAAAGCTTGATTTGGAGCTTCTCTTAATGGGTTCTTCGAAAATAGGCAAATCTGTGCATCTTAGACAAACCTGAATTTGAATAAAATGGGCTTTAAAAAGAAACTGCCCAGTGATTTCCACTGGCATTTTACTAAATATAAAAATTAAGTTTTTAAAAAGCATTTCAAAGGGGATTTAAAATAATATTTGAGCTGCAAACTTAAATTTTCTCTGGTGTTGGTAGAAATCCAAGTGTTGTTACATGGCTACATGAGTGGGAGCTTGACAGGGGATCTATAGATGTGCTTCTTTTTAAATTTGATTTGCTCTGTAAGGTCTAAGAAGAGCGAGCCTTTTGTCACGAGGCTGATTTCAGCTCTCCTTAGCTCTTTGTCTCAACTGGAAATTCATAGGGGTCTGCAAATCAGAAAGGTCAGCGAGTGTAGGATTAGAAACACTGATAGATAGTGCATGAAAATGAGACCTAACCTCTAAAATGAAAATTGACCTCTCAAATGAGAAATGAGTCTGTGTTACCCTGGAGCAGCACCCTGGTGGCATTTCCCTGTCTCTGTTTGTGCCCAGTGGCCTTGGTGTGCACCCCGGGGTGGCACAGAGGAGAATTCTGTGGGGAATTCTGTGGGAGCCCCTCTGTGCTTCAGGGGTTTTGGCTCTGGTGGCAGTGTCACTGTTGAGGCAGGGACGGGAATTATGAGACTCCATCTTTAGCAGATAAAAATTATCTTTGTTCAAAAGCACCTCTCTCTTTTATAGAGAACATTGTGAACATTAATTCCATTGGTCTTAAAGTAAAAACATTGCACTTGATTGGTGCACTGGGCTTAGGTCAGTGTGGTAAAACATATCTATAAACAATATAATAGATTGTTTGCATTCTTCTAGGACTTTTTCCCTGACTTAGCCTGGCAGAAATCTTTCTCTTTTTCTCTCTGCCTGAACAGAGAACATCCACAGTGTCAGGACAGCTTTTGGGTTCTGCAGGAGCTCTCCTGGCAAACAGCAGCACTCCCTGCCAAGGGGCACTGGGCTGGCAGGGACAGCTTCCCTCTGCCCCGTGGTTTGTCCTGTCCCAGCCGTGGGCAGGAGCACAGCCCCGGGGGCTGAGCTGTGGGATGGGCTGTGCTTCCCTCAGTGCCCTGGGACACTGGGCTGGGGGTCTGCAAGCCAAGGGAAGAGGTGAAGCAGGGAAAGCAAAGCAGGATCTGTTTCAAATCAAAGCCTTTTGATGCTGGAATTGCCTAACTCTGTCTTCACACATCAGGGCTTAACGCTGATGGTGATTTACTCACACTTCCTAGTTAATAATTAGGCATTGGGAGACACCATATATCACTCCTAATGGAATATATGGGGTCTGATGAGAGTTTTCTGTTTTGACTAATAAATTTTAAGCAGAATCGCCAGGCTTAATGAAATATTACTGTTTGGGAAGTGGTTTAAGTCTTGTGCTGGGAAAACAGTGTTGCTTTATTCAGTAAATGAATTTATCATTCACTCTGTATCCCAAGCCCTGGCTGGCTCTGGAGCACGGGCTGGATGCAAGACTCTGAACCAGAAAGCAGAAAACTAATCAAATCCTTAAAGACCAAAGGCAGCCAGGCAGGCCTGGGCTGACTTTTTCAGTGGTAGCCTCTGGCTACATCCACTTTTATTTTAGTAACCATTGTTAGCATGATTTATAACCTCAGCTCGGAGACTTTTGCTATTTAGATGTAACAAGATGCTTCACAGCTTTTACTTCCATTTCCTAATTTCCCCCTTGCTCCTGCTTTTTTTTTTTTTTTTTTTCCTCTCTCACTTCTCCCTCATCTTTGCCGTGCTCTTCTGTCCCAGGCAGTGCCCCCAGTCCCCCAGCTGACACTGCACTGGAAGAACATTTGGGGCACTGCAAGGCCTTGTCAGCCCCAAGGTCCACAGAACTGGTTAAGGGCTAAGAACCAGCCCCAAAAATACATCTTGGAATCGTGGAATGGTTTGTGTTGGAAGGCACCTTAAGGCTCATCTTGTTCCACCCCATCACAGCCAGGGACACCTTCCACTGTCCCAGGCTGCTCCCAGCCCTGTCCTTGGACACTTCAGGGATCCAGGGGCAGCCACAACTGCTCTGGGCACCCTGTGCCAGGGCATCCCCACCCTGCCAGCCAGGAATTCCTGCCCAAGATCCCATCCAGCCCTGCCCCTCGTTGTCTCAGCAGTGTGGGCACAGATCCTGGGGCACTCCTGGGTGTTGCAGTCTGGATTTGTGGGCCAGCAGGAGGAGCCAAGCCCTGCAGGAAATCAGGAAATGTCCTGCTGCTGGTTCCCGGGAGCACAGGGTGGCCGTGTGTGACATCTGCTCTGTGCCTCGTGCCAGGGACAAGATCAGGGGAGGCAGCACACACCCCTGCCTGCTGGAGCAGGAGGAAACCACCCTCACCTCTCTGCACCACTTGTGGCTGCTGCTCCAAGCCTCCCTCCCACCTTGCTTTTGACAGAATATTGACTGGGAAGCAAGATCCCATTTCTGCTTAGCCTGAAGGGCAGCTGTTTGCAGAGTGGCAGTGCTACACAGGTTTTACTGTGTCGTATGTCTGTGTAACACTGGATTTGGATCTTGTATTTAGCTGCCAGAAGTGACTGTGATGAAGTGGCAGAGATAAACTGATAGATTGTGTGCCAGAAAGATGTTGGGAATCAATCAGATAAACAGGGCAGAGAAGTAGCTTGCTGTTTTCTAGTGATAATAAACCAGTGGCCTGGCTCCTGGAATTTTTAAATGTAATTGCTGCAGTAATAATTTCCAAAAATAAACAAGTAAAAAAAAAAAAAAGTAGTGGCAGGCTTTTAATTATGTTTGAATCACTCTTTTTTTCTGGTAATGTGGTGTATGCCTCGAAGGACAGGAAAGTGCAGGGTGGAGGAAAAGCATCCTGCATCCTTTCTTGCCTGGATTTGCCTGGATTCTGGTTCTGTTTCAGGTGTTTCTGAGCTGCTGAATTGTAGGTGTCCATGAAGCAGTTTGTTCCCCTCAGTTTTGGAGGGTTTATTTCTGCTCCTTGTGTTGATATCTTGGCCAATACCCACGGCACAGCAGGTAGGGTTTGCAGTGAGTGGTGATAAACACACAGCACCACTCAAGGATCCAAAAAGGCTGTTGACAACATCCGTTGGCTGCAGGAAGCAAAGAGGACAAACCCCAGCCCTCAGGACACAAAAAGAAATGGAAAAGGCTGCCTGAGCATTCCTGCTGTAGCTGTAAAAAGGATTTTGCTGTGCCATTCTCCGAGCGAGCGTCGCTGCCCAGCTTCTGCTTGGGAGTTGTTTCAGTTCCCCTGCCCTGTGGGGCTGAGCTTTCCCTGCACTCCTGTCCCTGTTAGAGCTGTGGCAGCTGGCTGCACAACAACTGTGCTTATTTCAGGTGGGCTTTTTGTCTTTCCCTGCAGCTCCTGCGAGAGCTGATCGAGCGCAAAACCGCCTCCCTGGACCCCAACGACCAGGTGGCCATGGGCAGGTGAGTGGGTGCCTGGCACGTCCCTTCCCAGCCCTGCACTGTGCCCTGTGCCCTTCACACAGCTCCTTGCAGAGGGCAGAATGCTGAGCTCATCTGCAAAAAGGCATGATGGCATCAGGAGGGAAGCTCATCCTCTCCAGCAGACTCCTGGATCACCCAGTCTGGCTTTTTTGGTGTGTGATCCTCTGGAGATGTTTCCCCATGGGAAAGGTTTGAGCCAGGTATTTCTGTCTCTCAGTGCTTCCTGCAGCACTAAGTGGCACAAAAACTGTCTGCCCACTGCTGAAATTTGGCTTTGACTCTTTATTAACTCTGCTTTTGATGTAATTTTAGAAGAGTAAACCTTCTGACATCAGTTAAAGCAATTCCTGTGTATCCCTCCTGTAAGAAAGGATTCTGTACAATTAAAACAATATCAGGGAATGCTCCCTGCGTGCAAAATTTAAATATAATTCCATGCAGGGAAGCTCTTATTTCTCTGTTTAATTCTAGAGTTAGAAAGTAAAGAATCTTCCAAATGCCATTTCCTGAGCAGTGTACATTGAAATAGCCAAGGCTCTAATTCAGGAAAGTGTAAAAGCCAAGGAAAGCTGAAAAAGCTGGAGTTTGGCTCTTCCTGAAACAATTTTGGGGGAGTCGTTTATAGGGAGGGGAAGAAAATGCATCAGGAAATGTTGTGATGGTGAAACAACTTTTCTCCATGTAAAATACCACCCAGATTTTAGTGCAATGTGTCAGATTTATTTTGTGTACGTCTGGAATATTATGGAAAGCTATTCACTATGATTTAACACGATACAGACAAAATTACATTTAAGTGGTGATTGCATTGTACATTTATCTGACTTTACAATAAAATAGATTACAGTAATTAAGATTATATTAAGATTGCAGTAATTGGATTTTGTTAGATTTTTTCCCTGATGTCGAGTTTTCATTGTATAAATCAGGTGAGATGACGCTCGTTTCAGTTAAAAAAAATATTTATAACCAGGAGAAGTTTTTCCCTGCTGGAAACTTCTTTGACTTGAGGAAGTTTTGGTTGAGAAGTGGAGCTTTTAATACTGCTGGGGATCAGAGAGTGTTTCTGGGAGTGTTCAGTGGCTCTGAAGTTGTGTTCCTGTTCTGCATCCCCAGGCAGTGGCTGGCCATCCAGAAGTTACGGAGCAAAATAAAGAAGAAAGTGGACAGAAAAGCCAGCAAAGGAAGGAGAATCCGGTGAGTGACACCTCCAAGTACACACTAATTCTGATTTTGGGGGGGAAAAAAAAAATTTGACAGCCCTAGGTGTGTTTTACCCCAGTTGGCTTTGGGGAATCTTGGCTGATTTGTGACTTTGAGGGCATTTCTTGCTCTGGGCAGTCACTGGGGAATGCTGATGTTCCTGGAGCCTGGAATAAAAGCTTGGTGGATGCAGCCTGGGAGCATTGCCCCAGTCAGGGTCTGGGGAAACACCAGAGAAAGGTGCTCCCATGTCCTTGAGCCATGTGGGGCTGGGACTTCCAGAGAGAGCCAACAAACCCCTCTTGTGCAATTTGTATTTCCTGACTGAGGCGTGGCAGCACCTCCAAGGGAAGATGTGCAGAAATGCCTCAGGTAAATCTCTATTTCTTGCCGAGTGCCAGCTGGAATTTGGTGTCAAATCTCTCTTTGCTGCTGACTGACATCACAGCTCCCTTCATGTCTGAATCATTTCCCTCCTGCATCACTCATTTGGGTTGAGCTCAGTGGGAGAATCTCCCACGTGGGAAGGGCAGCAGCCTGGAGAGCAGGAGGTGTTTCCCCTCTGCAGAGCAGCTCTCCGAGTCTCCCTGAGATCAGCATGATTTGTGGTGGAGGAGGGAGGATGCTGAGAAGCTGCTCTGCTTCCTGAAAAATCCAGCACATTAACCATCCTTTGTGAGTAAACCATAAATCCTGAGTTTAGATGGCATCTGATAGAAAGTCAGTGGAGTCAGTCTGGGTCTGGCCTGGCATAGCATTTTTTAAGATAGATGTCATAAGATAATTTATTGAAAGAGGGAAGAGCTACTTTGTTGGCCTGAAAAGCCTATAATTATTGACTATCAATATTCTTTTCTGTCAGCATCACACATAATTGGATATATTCAGGATTCAGTCAAAACTCCTGACAACATCACACAACTGAGGCAGCCTCGTAAAGCTCCAGGAATAATGGGGAATCTCTCCTTGGGTGCAGTCTGTGCCTCCAGCAGTCCTGGGGGAGCAGCTCTCCCCCCAGCCAGCTGCCTCTTACATCTTAGCTGCCTCTTTTTGCTCCTCTAACTAAAAGTTGTGCTGACCCTGCGGGGAAAATAACAATAAAAGGGAAAAAGTTTCACTGTCTGTACTGGGGATTGAGGTGCAGTTAAGCTCCTGCATTTTTCAGAATAGGGCAGTAGAGCCCAAATGGGTTTTTAAATAGTTGGTGCTTCCTCTGAGAGACTTGGAGATCCCTGACCCTCTCTCCTTCTCTAAAATTGGGACAGCAGTGCTTACATTTGCTTTCATGACTTTTTGATCCTGGAGAGACAAGTATTTAATACCAAGTTTCATCTGTCTCCTTAATTCTTCCTTTTTAGCAAAGCTTCAATATTAGAGCCTGTTTGGGTGCATGTGCTGGTTTATTGAGGGGCTGAAGATCTTCAGGTGCTTCCAGAGGCAGTCAGTCTTCCACTGACACGAGGGAAATTTGGGTGTTAAGAGGGGAAATAAGTTCATCCAAAACTCAGACTTCGTTAACCTGGTGGAGGTAGCCATGGAGGAGGGATGTCTGCACAGTCAGTGTTTTCTGAGCTGTGCTGCTGCAGTGTGGGGTGTCTTTTTGGACTGGGCTTTTCCCAAAGCAGGCAGCTGTAGGCAAACAGGCTGGAGCTGCGTGGCCACGAGCCCGTGCCAGGCTGTGCCCCTGCCCTGCCTGTGCCCACGGGGCTGCTGCAGAGCCCAGGCTGTGTGTGAGCTGTGGTTTGTGGCTGCTCCTGGCTCCAGCCTTGCAGCATCCCAGCAGGGCAGCTCCTCCCAGTGCCAGGGACAAAGGCTGCAGATGCCCCTGTGAGATGGGCTGGGAGCTCAGCAGCCCCCAGGGAGGGCTCCTGCACAGCAAACAAAAGGGGTGCAGAGGTGACAGAGTGGAAAGGGGATCCTGGGCCAGTGCTGGTGGCTCCTTCTGCTGCTGTTTGTCAAGCTCTGTGCATAGCAGCAGCCTGGAGGGAACCCCTCAGGCTGGGGTAGGACGAATGCCTGGGTTTGGAATCCCCTGCCCTTGGACACTGGGTTTAAAACCTGCTCATTCAGAGCTTCTCACTACCCTGTTAAATTTTATGTCAGGTCCTTGACTATAAATCATGAAATCCCTTCAGGCTCCTGCCCAGGGTGGCAAATGGGATGGGGATCCTCTCTCTGGAGGTGCAGGACAGCTGGCAGCAATGTTTTGGTGATGAGAACGTGCCCCATCCCATCTCTGCACACCCTTTTCCTGTCTCCTTCTGCCCTGGTTTTCTCATGCTCCATGTGCAGGTCACTCAGGGTGGGATTCCCAGCTCTGGAAATGGCTCCAGGGTGGATTTTGGTGTCCCTCAGGGCTCTGCAGAGCCCAGAGCAGGGCAGGAGGGGGACAGAGGGATGCTGGAGCAGGTCTGATGGGAGGGCTGGCAGGGAGGGGCAGTTTGTCTGTCCGGGGCTCTCAGTTTGTGGATGCTGCTGTGCTGTCCCTGGCTGGCATGAGAGAGGCTTTGCTGCCTCTCATTCACTGTTCAGCTGCTCGTTGCTGTTCTCAGAGGGGAGGGGAATTTCCAGCTCCAGCTGGTGCCTGCTTAGGGATCAGCCCCCAGGGGAGCCCTGCTTTTCCTCTGGGAGCTGCTGCTGCCCAGGCCAGCAGCATTTCCTCCTGGGAGCAGCTCCTGAGTGCTGCCTGCTGCTCTCCCCAGGTTCCATGTCCACAGCAAGCTGGTGAGCTTCATGGCACCCATTGACCTCTGCACAATGAATGATGATGCCAGGTGAGTAAGAGATTCATTATGGTTCTCAAATGGCTCCATGACAGCGTGGTATTGACCTGTTCTTCAGCCTGTCACCCTCTCCATTCCTTCTTATCAGCTCCCCATTTGTCACTGGCATCACAGCCTGGGTGTCTTGGTCACATCTGTCCTGGCAGCCTGGCTGAGCTTTCACTCTGTAATTACTGTGATAGCAAACCAGAAATTGTCATAAATCTCTAGCACCTCGGGTTTGATTCCTGCTTTAGAGCTCCTGATTTGAAATTAGGAGTTTTAATTTCAAAAGTCCTAAATTTTGGATTTTCCCCGTTTTATGGAATTAGTTTGGAAATACACAGCTAAGCCACCTGGTGTCTTCAGGTAGAATCAGAGCTTAAAAGGAGCTTCTCTTCTAACAGAAATAGCAACTTCTATCTTCTGGTTAATGTGCATTTTCTTAGCTCAGTTAATAACTGGAATAGTTCTCTCAAGATTCACTCAAGACTTTTATGTTGCTTGTGTTTATCTCTATTTAAAGAGTAAAGAATTTTATTGGAAGACTGTAATGTTTTAATGTGGTAATTAGTAAAGAAAACACCAGTGAAATTTTGTGTATAGTTTCCAGACAGCTCTCCCACATATCCACCCGTATTTCTTCAGCAAAACACTTTAAACCCAAATCTCCAAAAGCTGAGCTGTTTGTGGGAAGGAAGTGGAATAATTTTTCCAGTGAATGGATGGAGAAAGCTTGAGAAACATCTTTCCCCTGGGTTGTGGAACATGTTTGTGCTCTGTGAGGGAGAGATGTCATTTGTCTGTTTGTGAAATGGAAACCAAATACCTGCTGCCTTTTGGGGGATTGCAGGGACTTATGGATGAGAAGTTTTGTGTCCATAGCACCTGTGCTGTTTCATCACTGCATCTTTCTCAGAGTTGCTTTACTCTGGGTTTTTTTCACTCCTGTTTTGTTTTTTTTTTTTCCAAGTGAGAGCAAAGCCCAGCTGCTCTGATTTTTCAGTATTGTTTGGATCCTCTCAGCACAAAAATAAATGTGGGAGGCTCCAAGCTGTTCCTCCAGCCCTGCAGTCCTAATGTTTAGCTTGAATTTCCCTCTGCTGTGATTTAGGACCATAATTTCTTGTCGTGTTCCAGATGGGAGCAGATTCCTGCTTCCTCTTTGCAGCAGCCCTTGCACATTTGAGTGGGAATTCTTGTGAGAAGCTGGGTGTTACTTTTTGTCTCCCCACACAGTTTGCACCGTTTGTGTTTGCATCCATACACTGAACACATCCAAAATATTGCAGTGGGAGACTGAAAATGAGGCCTTTTGAGGGTGTTGTGGTTCAGCAATCCCCAAATGAAGAGATCTGCTGCTCTCAGTCATTTGTTTGAAAATCAGAGCTCACTTCTCTGTTCAAAATGCCCCTGCCCCTGGCATGAGCCACAAGATCTCTGTCCAGCACAAGCTGCACCACACCAAGCAAGCAGAATTCAACATCTGCAGGTGAATTAAACAGAGCAGCCAGGCCTGTGTGCTGGAGAGGGAAGCAGCAGTGGTAACAGCTTCCCTTTGTGGCAGGAGCAGGTAATCTTATTGCTGGCAAGTGCAGGAGCACTGGATTACTGGATGGAAAATGCACATGTACACTTCACAGGGCTGCGACTGTGCTCTGAGCCAGTTTTGTTTTATTCTGGTCAGGCACTTAAAATGCATGACCCCAAAATTAATGCACCTGTGATCAACAGGGCACTGTGCTGTGGTGGGAGAGGTGTCCCAGTGCAGAGCTGTGGGTGAAATGGGTGTAGAAACAGCTGGCAGAGCTTTCCCTCTGAGTTCTACCAGTGGCCACAGGGGCAGGAAGACACCAGGAAAATGCCAGTAAATAGATAAATGGGTGTCTGCAGATGTGGGTGGGCTTGGGGCTGGTGCAGAGTGCAGGGGGTGAGTGGTGCTGTGGCTCTGTCCTTCCTTGGCTGTGCACACAGAAATCCCTGTCAGGGGAAGCAGCCTGGGCACTGCCAGGAGAAGGATCACTCCAGATTTTACAGCCTGGATTTGAGAAGAGAAGCACACAAGTCAAATAAGTGCCTTTGTCAACATCCCTGCCACTTTCTGCTCACTCCTGCTGCTGGCTGGGCTAACAGCATTGCTGGAGGCAATTAATCTTCCCCTTGCCCCTTTTCCAGGCACCCCAAGCATGGGCAGGGCTCTTTAACCTCCTGCTCACATATTTTATGTTGTAATGTGTGGGGCACTGGTGGCCTCCATCCCTCCTCCTTTTTAACCCTTCTCTGGTAGTATTTTAAAGCACACACTGGGAAGTGATTTTTATGGTTACCTTGGGGTCTGTGTTTATAGACTTTAACACATTTATTGTCCTCTTGGGCCAAGAGTTTTCTAATCGGTGCAAGGTCACTGCTGGGTAAATGCTCTGCCCTGGGACAAGGAACCCAAAGGCAGAGCTGGGCTGTGCTCTGGGGGTTGTCCAGAGGAGACAGGAGCTGTCTGGGGCAGGACAAGGCTGTTTGTGGTTTCTCCTGGGTGTGAGGGTGGCATGATGTGATTTCCCCTTCTTGGACTTCCCCTGAAATAGGTTTTTCCCTCCATCAGGACGTGGCATCCTTCAGGAGCACCTTGTGCAGCAGAGCTGGGAGCAGGGCAGCCTTTGCTGTGGAAATGGGGCAGAGGGGGCTGATAGCCCCTAATCTCACAGGCCTTTGGGTCCTGAGAGCCTCAGGGAATTCCTAAAGATGTCCCACAGGACTGGGCTGGAGCTGAGGTTGAACCCAGGCCTCCTGTGCAGGCATTGATCCTCTTTTAGGAGGTCAGACACGTGTGCACCTGCAGAGAGCTCCTGTGCCTGGTGCAGGTGTTTATTTCTGGGCAGGCTGAGGCTCAGGATTGTCCAGAACACCTGCAGGGCAGTGAGGTGTTCCCAGTGCTGGGCTGGATCCAGTTCCCAGCCCAGGTGAGCTCTTCCCAGTCCCTGGAAGAGCTGGGTGTGCATTTGGGGTTTTTCCTCTCACAAACCCTCAGCTCTGTCCCTGTGAGGGGAGCAGAGACTGAGCACTCCAGAGCAAGGGCTGGTGTCAAAGAGTGCAAAGTCTGATGAACATCCTCATTTCACCTCTGGAGGACACTAACTTCCAGGAAGAGACATCCTCCAAGGACACAGATGTTTGGTCCAAACACCTTTATCTCCCCAGACAACTCAGGTTATTCTGACAGGTGAAACAAGATTGTGCAAATATGCAACAGTGATCTAATCAGCTGGAACAACAGCAGTATTTTAACTGGCACTACCTTTTAACAGCATCATTAAGGGCTCTCATTACTCTTTTATTAGAGGCTCACTCTATTTCTTATCAGATTACAGAATGAACATAACTCATGGCACTGATTTGATCTCTTGTTAAAGAGGATTACAGCTCTGCATTAGCTGGGATTGACACGGTTTATAATTTGCTGTTGACACACAGTCTGGCAGTGTCACACGTGTGACCCCTCCCCACACCCCCCAGGGGGAGGGCACCCATACATCATCATTAAACACAGCACCCAGGGCTCTGCAGGAGCCCAGAGGAGCCTTTTCTGCAGCAGAGTGGGGCAGGACACACTGGAATTCCAGCTGGGCATTTCCAGGTGGGAAACAGATCCCATTTTATGTAGGCTGGGTTATGCCTCAGCACATGGATCCTGGTTAGGCAGGAGGAATTTGCATCCTTTAGGAGGCAGATCGGAGGGAGAAGGTGGCTCTGCTGGGGCTGTGTCAAAGCTGGCAGTGTCACCACGAGGTGAGGTGGGAAGCACTTCCTTCAATCCCACGTGCAGGAGAGGAGCCCCTGCCTCCAGCATCCTGCGTGGCACAGGAGCCTCCAGCCCGTGCTGCTCCTGCAGGAGCACAGTGGGGCCTGCTGGGAGGCTCGGTGAACAGCCAGATTATCCAGTGAGCCTTGGATTAGAGCTTTTCCCTTGGATGCTGCCAGGCCCTGTGCATTTTCCCCATCAGCATTCTCCCTTTGGTGCAGTTGCTTTGTCACAGAGAGTCTCGCTGCAAGCAGAGGGGGGTACGTAGCAGGAAATCCTGGTATTAAAAGATTAATTTACTTATATGACACAGGAGTTTAATAAAAAAAAAATGAAAAAAAAAAAATAGGTTGGTGAGATACCAGCCTTTAACTTGGCTCACTTTGTACTTGGGGTATTAAAACACCATGAGAGCAGATTAATGGAGGAATTTGGGCTCTGTGATTGTCAATCCAGCCTGTTCACCAGCACAGAATTCCTGGGAGGAAGCAAAGCCCTTCCTGCTGGAAGAAGTGAGCCAGCAGCTCAGGGCTGCATGGCACAAACCCCACTGATCCTGCTGGTGTGAGGAAAGTGCCTCCAGGTTTGTTCAGGCACAGCCTGGGAGAGAGGGTGTCCTGCTTTGGGAAGCAAGGAGAGGAGCAGGGCATGGAGGGCACCGTGGAACCAAAGGAAAAACCTTATCCTGTGAAACCAAACATGCTTGGGTGGATCCTGAGGCACCACAGCTTTGGAATCCCAGAATCCCAGACTGGTTTGGGTGGGAGAGAACTCACAGCCCACCCAGTGCCACCCCTGCCAGGGCAGGGACACCTCCCACTGTCCCAGGCTGCTCCCAGCCCCAGCTCCAACCTGCCCTTGACATTTCTTCTCTTTGTGCCCGATTTTGTTTTATTTGAACTCTCCTCAGCCTGTGGCCCCTGGAGGTGCAGTGTAGTACCCATGTCCCTCACCCAGGGCTTGGGAAGGTGCTGCAGCTCTGTGGGCTCAGCTGCCAGTCTGAAGTGTGACCCAGCTGGTGGCACTGGGCTGGACTCTGATGTTTGACATCCCTGGCAAACAGACAGGAGCCTCTGGTATGGAAATTTCCCTCTTCAAGGGGGGAAAAAAAATAACCTGTTAAGGGCTGCGAGATGATTTGTCGTTTTTCCTTTGTGAGACAATTTGTCTTCTCCTGCATCAAATCTGTTATAAAACAGGCAAGCTGTGAAAGAGG